TGGAGGATGGCCCAAGTGCTCAGGCCCTGCACCCCATGGGAGACCAGGAGAAGCACCTGGCTCCTGCCTTTGGATCAGCGCAGTGCGCTGGCCGCAGAGGCCATTGAGGGGTGAACCAATGGAAGGAAGACCTTTCTGTCCTTCTCTCTCACTGTCTAACTCTGCCTGTCAAAGATAGATAGATAGATAGATAGATAGATAGAGTGTACAGAAAACCTTGAATCATGACAAAAGTTGGTCGTTTTAGAACTGACACATGACCCGTGAGTGGTATATTGGGGATGTACTTATCAAAGAACTAGGTCTCTGAGGATGTGGACTTAAATTATAGCAGAAGGAATATTATACATGAAGATAAGGGATTTTTTTTGTTTTGTTTTAAAGATTTATTTATAAGTCAGAATTACAGTGGGAGAGCGAGAGATAGAGTTATCTTAATAATCGCTGGTTCACTTCGCAAATGGAGGCAGTGCTGGGGCTGGGCCAGGCCAAAGCCAGGAGCTTTTTCCAGGTCTCCCCTGTGGGTACAGGGGCCCAAGAACTTGGCTATCCTCTGCTGTTTTCCCAGGCTCATTAAGAGGGAGCTGTATTGGGAGTGGAGCAGCCAGGACTCAAACCAACGCTCAAATTGGATGCTGGCAATGCAGATGGCAACTTAACCCTCTATGCTACAGCACTGGCCCCAAAGAAAAAGTTTTTAGTACTGGAAGTTGACAGTTCTAGAGTCGCTTACTGAAGAGTGGGGTGTGTTTGGGGCTAGGTAGGCTCTGACAGTTTTGAGGCATTGACCCATTTATTCAACCAACGTTTACTGAATGCTCACCTTGTGACCATATGGCTCCAGGCCCAGGCAGGTTGATGCACAGAAAAATGACTGCAGAGAACCTAGAGATTCCATATCCTTAGTTTTGGTGTGAATTGACGAAGGGAGTCACCTGATAGCCAGCAAGGGTCTGTAGAACCAACAGAAAAACTCTTTCTCAGAAGACAGATATTTTGGGTCATCAAAATCTTGTTTATTGTAAAACACCTATTGGGCGGTTATCTGACTCAGTGGCATTTGACCTTAAAAACCTTTAACATGTCACTGTTTTGGTCTTGTTTTTATCCTAGGCAAAACTGGGGTGGCACCATTGTTTCTGGGATGATGGTATGAAAATGAACTGGGAAGAACCATATGATAGCCTTAAAAAACAAAAGGAAAGTAATACTATTGTTTTACCTGAGTGATACACAGCTATAGGCTCTCTTGACTGGTCCTCCGCCTGCGGTGCCGGCACCCCGGGTTCTAGTCCCGGTAGGGGCGCCGGATTCTGTCCCGGTTGCTCCTCTTCCAGTCCAGTTCTCTGCTGTGGTCCAGGAGTGTAGTGGAGGATGGCCCAAGTGCTTGGGCCCTGCACCTGCATGGGAGACCAGGAGGAAGTATCCGGCTCCTGGCTTCGAATCGGTGCAGGGGAGTGAACCAATGGAAGGAAGACCTTTCTCTCTCTCTCTCTCTCTCTCACTGTCTATAACTCTCTCTCTCTCTCTCTCACTCTCTAATGCTGCCTGGCCAAAAAAAAAAAAAAAAGATACACAGGCTATAAAGGACTTCTTATTATTTATAGCTATTTTCGTTAATGCTTATAATTGGCTTTCCTTTTACGTGCTAGAGAACAGCAGCTTTGAAGAGTGTCCAGCACAGTGGGTGCAGGAGATGGGGGTTGGAGATTCACACCATATTTTAGGGTGGTAACTACAGATGTCCCTGAGGGGAGACCAAGGCCGTGGTAAGAGTGAGGTGCTGTGGACAGAAAGAACTGCTGTGTTGGCAACTGAAGCTCTTGAACTTGTTCACCCATTGCTAAATGGGGGGTGTACAGGAGAGGGAAAAGTCGGGGTTGACTGATTCTGGGATTTTCAATGATTTCTGCTTAGGCTGGGTGACAGGTATAAACAAATACATAAAAATGCATGTGTCTTACATGGTTGTTATATTTTGCATCTTCAGTGGTTATTATATTGTTACATTTGGGGGCAGAGAACGGGCAGTGTCTGCACCCAGGAGATTAGAATTGGAATTTGAGTGGTGCAGTAAACATCCTTGGGCGAGTTCTGAAGCACTGGGTTTCTTTTTAGCAATGAAATTACTACTGCCTCTGGAAGATAGGCCTAAACAGCTGGAGAGGGAAGTGATGATAAATGTTGTTTGTCCCACTGCCGGAGCCCTTCTCCAGTAGCTGCTGTGCCTGAATCCGGAGCAGCAGCACTCACATTTCATAACTGTGAGTTTCCCTGGTGGTTGGGCACGGACGGTGTTCATTTTATAGGGGTCAGAAGTTTCTGTTGGTGGCCTCAAGGGGCATCTGTGGAGCTCTGGTCACGGTATTCAGAGGCCAAGATCATGGAGTGAGTGCAGTTTTGCATTTATGTGGTCTTTGGGGCAGGCAAATAAGCCAGTCATATTTTGTGATGACTGAGGTTTTTGAGGGCTAATAGTGCAGCCTCCTATCAACCTTCGCATGATTGGTGGAGGAGCCATGTGGAATTGCTTCAGAGACATTTAAATGCTCTCAAGGTCAAGGATAGTTCACTTGGCATTGCCATAAGACTTCTTTTTCAAGTATACTTCTTTTAAGTCTGAACTAGATTTTTAAAAAGCTGAAGAATTCCTCCTTTTATTTTAAAACACTTTAGCAAAATAATAACCAGTGCCTTTTTATTTTTTATAAAATGCCTACCATTAAGCCAATTACTTTTGTAATAGATAAAAAATGATTGATGCTTGTTTATAAATTTTTTCAGTTCCGTCTGGAAATGTGTAGTTAAGAACTCTATTAACAGAAGCAGAATTGCTCATTAGCTTTGCATTTTGATGGCACTTTGTGATTTGGAATCTGACTTTCAGACCGACAGAACGTAATGCGGGTGTACATTTCTCATTTGGTACATTGGACTCTCTAAAGAGCTTTTTCACCGATTTCCTGTTAGAGAGCAAGTCCCTGAAGTAATAGAGAAAGCAGAGAAATTAACTCTAAATTCCTGTGGTTTATTTTCTGTGTATGTACAGTTTTAAAAAATGTTTAATCTTGTTTTACTAGGATACTTTAATCAGTTTGTAGAAAAATGAAAGATTTTGGTGCAAACATTTTTTTTTTCTTGACAGGCAGAGTTAGTGAGAGAGAGAGAGAGAGAGAGAAAGGTCTTCCTTCCATTGGTTCACCTTCCAAATGGCTGCTATGGCTGGCGCGCTGCACGCTGCACCAATCTGCAGCCAGGAGCCAGGTGCTTCCTCCTGGTCTCGCATGCAGGTGCAGGGCCCAAGCACCTGGGCCATCCTCCACTGCCTTCCTGGGCTACAGCAGAGAGCTGGACTGGAAGAGGAGCAACCGGGACAGAACCGGTGCCCCAACCAGTACTAGAACACGGAGTGCCGGTGCCACAGGAGGAGGATTAGCCTAGTGAGCTGCGGTGCCGGCCGGTGCAAACATTTTTTTTGAAAGATTTATTTATTTAAATATTTGAAAGCCAGAGCAACAAAGAGAGAGAGAGAGAGAGAGAGATCTTCTGTTCACTGGTTCATTCTGCAGATGGCTACAACAGCCAGGGCTGAGCCGGGAGGAAACCAGGAGCTAGGAACATCATCCTGGTCTCCTACATGGGTGGCAGGGGCCCAAGTGTTTGGGCCATCATCCACTGCCTTCCCAGGCACATTCGAAGGAGCCTGGATGGAAGCAGAGTAACTGGGACACAAACTGGCGCTCTGGTGTGGGATGCTGGCCTCACAGGTGGTGCCACAGTGCTGGTCCTTGTACATGTCGTGTGTGGAAAACTAAGACTATCCCTGACCATATAGTGATGTGAATTGCTAGTACCTGTTGCTTGGCTTCATCGCCTGTCAACCTGTGGGCATCCTTTTTCAAAAACCCTTCTCCTAGCCCCGTCTCTATTAATCTGAAGCAGATCCTCAGCAGATCAACTGTAAGGCGTTTTCATTTTAGATAGAAAGATAATAAGTGAGTGTACGCACTGGCTGACTAGGTTTGAGTGTCTGGACACTTAAGGTGGTTAGGCACTTGTGGTGAGACCACTGGCAACGTCACGTAGCTTGGATTGTACCTTTTAGTAACCAGGTTGATGAGTGTCTCCTCTGAAATGTAACACAGAGTCTGTGTTGTCTCTGAAATGGTTAATTAGCACTCTCCCTCTTTCAAAAAGATGTTGTGATAACTTAAATACACACACCCCCAAGATTGTAAAAGGAAGAGACAGGGAAGGGGTAAATGAAGGTCACCTTGTCCTATGAAGCCAATGACAATGGATACATAACAAGTGTGGAGTCATAACAGTGATCAGAAGCATGCTGAATTTTCCAGTGGCCAAAGTCAAAAGGAAACACAAGCAGTTTGATATTATCCTCAGGATGTCTTCACTATATCATTCCTGTCACCAGAGAGTTATCTCTCCCATGTGATGTTTGAGGCGATGGGTGGTGGGGTAGGTGCTCTGAGCTAGTGGCTCTCCTTTTTCCCCTTGTTTTGGGGGTTGACAAGTGTAATAAGGCAGGAGCTGTAATTTATTGAATACCTATTATTCTATCAGTCATTGTGCCAGGCGATTTTACTTCATTTCATCTTTAACATATTCCTGCTCTGCGCATAATTGTTTTTGTCCTTTTTCAGGTGAGGAAATTGAAATCCAGAGAAAGCAAGTAATTTGCCAGGGTTAGGCAGCTGTCTGCGCTCACATTGCTAAGAACATTTGACCTCTAGACAAGTGAATGGTTGGATTAATGTGTATGGGCGTTTATGGGTGTATGTATTTGAGCATATCGGTACTCTTTTAAGAAGAGTATCAAGATCTTTGTCTCACTGGAAATGGGATCATTTCCTAGAGATTAGGGTTCTGGGCCATTGTTTGTGATGAACCTTTTTTAGTGATGCTAGGCGTTCTTGATTCAAGGTTACCTTATTCTTTGCACATTGCCAATTCTGGATTTCATCCTTTGTGTTTTAATACAGAGAGAAAAGGAGCAGCAGGAAGAGAAAACTAGTTTGTTCAGGAGCACAGGGAAGAATGAAGATGATGGGAGAAGAGCTATGATAACTCCTGCTCTCCGAGAAGCCCTTACTAAGCAAGGTGAAGAATTTGTGAGAATCTTTGTTAAACGTTCTAACTCAATGCCTAAGAGAAAGGAATAAACTAGGGACCGCCAATGGGGACAGAAATGAAGTCACTCCCTTGTTAGCTCAACAGCTGTGTCACAGTGGCAGGTGCAGTCATGAAAAGCTTCGTCCTCTCATTTCCATGGGTCACTTATGCATTTCATCCTTGCTTGGTTTATTGGGATATTACCATCATTGTGGCTCAAAGTGAAAGAAAATGCTATCTATCACTGACTCACAAATCACTGTTTATTAAAGAAAAACTACTAAATGCAGGAGAAAGCTTATATGAGGGGACTCTAAAAAGTTCAAGGAAAACTGAATTAAAAGAAGGTCATGGGCTGGTATTGTGGTGCAGCAGGTTGAGCTATTGCCCGCAACCTGGCATCCCATAGAAGTGCTGGTTTGAGTCCTGGCTGCTCTGCTTCTGGTCTGGTTCCTTGCTAATGCACCTGGGAAAGCATTGGAAGATGGCCCAAGTGCTTGGGACCCTGCACTCACATGGGAGACCCACATGGAGATGCAGGCTCCTGGCTTTGGCCTGGCCCAGCCCTGGCCATTGCACCGTCTGGGGTGTGAACCAGCAGATGGAAGATTTCTCTCTGTTTCTTCCTCTTTGTCTGTAACTCTGCCTTTCAAATAAATAAAATTAATCTTCTATTAAACTTCTTTATGGTGTAAAAGCATTTAGAAACCCACACGAATAAGGAATCTTTAAAAAGTTCATGAAGTATGAGTATTATGATAAACTGTGCATGGTTTCAAAATATTTTTGCACCAAGATGAACTTATCTTATAATTTCATTTTCCATAAGTGATGTGAAATATCCCCATATGATACAGAGCTGGGTTAATTATGCATAAATGTCATGTCTGGAATTGGGTGGTTTTACTTAATTAAGGAGGCTATAGTTGAATGGGCAGACTGTGTCCTGTAGAAGGAAAAATAGTGAGCAAGAGTCAGGAGACTGACTTCCTTCCTTCTTACCCTCCTAACTCCATCTTCCTCTCTCCCTCCTCTCTGTATTTATGAAGAACATTTTATGTGGCAGTTCTTGCAATACAGAGAAACACAGGCTAACGTGCCTCCTTTGAGGAATCATGAATTGGATAGAAAATACAGATATATGTGAGGATATGTCAGAAATTCATAGGAAAATGAAAGTAAAAGATAAGCTTATTTTTATGCAAAAAGCTTTTGAGGCCGGCACCTCAGCTCACTAGGCTAATCCTCCAACTGCGGCACCGGCATCCTGGCTTCTAGTCCCGGTTGGGGCACCAGATTCTGTCCCGGTTGCTCCTCTTCCAGTCCAGCTCTCTGCTGTGGCCCGGGAGTGCAGTGGAGGATGGCTCAAGTGCTTGGTTCCTGCACCTGCATGGAGACCAGGAGAAGCACCTGGCTCCTGGCTTCGGATCGGCGCAGTGCGCCGGCCGTAGCAGCCATTTGGGGGGTGAACCAACAGAAGGAAGACCTTTCTCTCTGTCTCTCTCTCTCACTAACTCTGCCTGTCAAAAACAAAACAAAACAAAACAAAAAAACCACAACTTTTGAAATCCATGCATAGTTTTTTCATAATACACAATTTTTCATGAGCTTTTTTGTTGTTGTTGTTGTTGTTGTTTTAATTTTATTTGAGAAAGAGAGAAAGAGAAGTTGCTCCCATCTGCTGGTTCTCTTCTACAGGTGTCCGCAATGGCTAGGAGTGGGCTGGGGTCAGAGCTGGGTGCTGGGATCACAATCTGGGTCCCCCATGAGGGTGGCAGGGAACCTTACTTAAGCTACCATCACTGCCTCTCAGGGTTTGCATTGGTGGGAAGTTGGAGTCAGGAGCTGGGGCAGGAATCAACCCAGGAACCAAGCTATGAGACACAGGCATTTTTAACTGATAGGCTAAATGCCTACTCTTCCGTGAGCTTTTTGAAGACTTCTCCTGTATATAATGTGCTTTTTCACTGGGATAGACTATTGTGATTTATTTAAATCTGTTTTAAAAGATTTTTTATTTGAAAGGCAGAGCAACGGAGAGAGATGAATGGATGGATGGATGGATGGACGGACAGATGGACAGATAAATAAATTGATCAATTGATAAATCTTCCATCCACTGGTTCACTCACTAAATGATTGTAGTAGCAAGGACTGAGCCAGGATGAAGCCAAGGGCCAGGAGCTCTACCTGTACCTTGTGGGTGGCGGGGGGCCAAGTACTTGGGGCCATCATCTGCTGCCTTCCCAGACACAGTAGCAGGAAGCTGGATCAGAAGCCAAGTCGCCAGGACTGAACTGGTGCTCTGATATGGGATGTTGCCATCACAGACAGCAGTTTAACACACTGCACCATAGTCTTACTGTTTGTTTTGTACTTTTCTCATCTGTTCTTTGATTTTCTTTTGTCTGTTTTTCTATTCGTTTTCTCTCGTTCACTTATTTTTATTTGATTTGAAAAACAGAATGAGAAAGAGGGACAGAGAACAAGAGACAGCGAGAGTGCCAGGGCTGCAGCAGGTCGAAGCCAGGAGCGTGGAACTGCAGCCAGGTTTTCCACATGGGCCATCTTCTGCTGCCTTTTCAGTCACATTAGCAAGGAACTGGATTGGAAGCAGAGCAGCAGTGACTTGAACCAGTGCTCCTAACCTGCTGCTCCACAACACAAGCCCCCTCTGCGTTCTAAAAAAAAGTGATTCTCTTGTACATTGTTGGCTTATTAGCTGTAATACTTTGGTTATTTATTAGTTGCCTGAAAATTTATCCTGTATGTCTTTACATGTGACAGTCTATGAGTCTTATTAGACTACTTCATGTATAATAGAAGAATCTTGCAATAGTATATACTTCAGTTTCTCCCCATTCCCCCCTCTGTTTTTAGAAGAATTATTTGAAAGAGACAGAAGTCTCCTTCCATCTGCTGGTTCATTTCCCAAATGCCTGCCACAGCCCGGCTGGGCTCGGTTGAAGCCAGGAGCTGGGAATTCAATCCAAGTTTCCCACATGGGTGGGGATCCAACTGCTTGAACCATAATTGGCTGCCTCTCAGGGTGCACATTAGCAGTGAGTTGGAATGGGAGTGGAGCCAGGACTTGAACTCAGACACTCCACTGTGGGAAGTGGGCATCCCCAGTGGTATGATTCCTGTGCCAAATGCCTTTCTCCATTCACCTTTCTTTTGTTATTATGTATTTTACTTTTACAGGTTATAAACTCTACAATACATTGTTATTAATTTTGCTTACACAGTTGGTTTCTTCTGTTAAAGATTTGCGTCATTGTAAAGAATTTTCTTCTTTACTCTGGTAGTTACCTCTTTCCTCTTTCTTGATCTTTAGTCCTTTGTTTTCCTTTGTTTTTGTCCTTGTTCTGTCTGGTATCCTTTAACCTCTGTGCAAGAACTGCCTTTTTTCTTTTTTTCTTTTTTTTTAGTTTTATTGATTTGACAGGTAGAGTTATAGACAGTGAGAGAGAGACAGAGAGAAAGGTCTTCCTTCCATTGGTTCACCCCCCAAAATAGCCGCCACGGCCAGCGCTGCATCCATCCGAAGCCAGGAGCCAGGTGCTTCCTCCTGGTCTCCCATGCCGGTGCAGGGCCCAAGCAATCAGCCGAGTGCCTTCCCCTTGCCCTCATTTCTGGAGGGGATGTTTTGCTGGGTATAAAATTGTAGGTGGACAGCATTGTTTTCTCTCAGCATTCCAAAGGTGGTGTTCCATTAGCCTCTTGCTCACTTGCTGCTGCTAAGAGCCCAGCAGTCAGCCATCGTTCATTTGTGCCTTTGAATGTGATACTCCCTTCCCCAACTACTTTAAAGATTTTCTCTTAATTACTGATTTTGGACAGTTTAATGTTACATATTAAATAGCTCTTACCTGAAGTCCTTGTGACCAGAAATATTTTAAAGTTTGGTGTTTTTTCACCTATTAGAATACTGACATGAAATGTACTGGTTAAGCATCCTGACAGGTGCCAACAGCTACTCAAAACATTTCAGAATCTGTAGCATTTTGGATTTCAGATGTTTGGATCAGGGAGCTCAACTTGTTAGTGTCTCAATGTACTGTTCATGTTTCTTTTACTTGGGTTTCATTTTGCTTCTCAATTCTTTTTTTTTTTTTTTTTCCTGACAGGCAGAGTGGATAGTGAGAGAGAGAGAGAGACAGAAAGGTCTTCCTTTTTGCTGTTGGTGCACCCTCCAATGGCCGCCACGGCTGGCGCGCTGAGGCCGGCGCACCGTGCTGATCTGAAGCCAGGAGCCAGGTGCTTCTCCTGGTCTCCCATGGGGTGCAGGGCCCAAGCACTTGGACCATCCTCCACTGCACTCCCGGGCCACAGCAGAGAGCTGGCCTGGAAGAGGGGCAACCCGGGACAGAATCCGGCGCCCCGACCGGGACTAGAACCCTGGTGTGCCGGCGCCGCAAGGCGGAGGATATTTTTCTGTTCCCTTTCCCTATTCTTTGGGTACTGTAATTAAAATAGGGTGCTTGAATTTGACCCACAGTTCACTGATGCTCTTTTTCATTTAAAAAATTTTTATTTTTCATTAACTTGAAAAAGAGAGAAGCACTGAGGATAGAGAGAAAGACATTTCATCCATTGGTTTATTCCTCAGTTGCGCACAATAACCGGACTGGGCCAGGGACAGGGTGAAGCCAGGAGCCTGAACCTCAGTCCAGGTCTCCTGCCTGAGAGGCAGGGACCTGCCTACTTGAGCCTTCACCTGCTGCCTCCCAGGGTGCACATTAACGAGAAGTTAAAAGCAGAGCTTGAGACTCCATTATGAGATGTGCGTATTCCAAGCAGCATCCTTTGGTGTTTTTTTTTTTTTATTTATTTATTTGAAAGGCAGGGATTCAGAGGGAGAGAGAGAGAGAGAGAGAGGTCTTCTGTCCGCTGGTTCACTCTCCAACTGGATGCAGTGGCTGGAACTGCGCCAATCCGAAGCCAGGAGCCAGGAGCTTCTTCTGGGTCTCCCACGCAGGTGCAGGGGCCCAAGGACTTGGGCCATCTTCTACTGTTTTCCCAGGCCACAGCAGAGAGCTGGTTCAAAAGTGGAGTAGCCAGGACTTGAACCGGCACCCACATGGGATGCTGGCACCTCAGGCCAGGGCATTAATCTGCTGTGCCGCAGTGCTGGCCCTCAAGAGAGATTCTTTTCTTTTTTTTTTTTGACAGGCAGAGTGGATAGTGAGAGAGAGAGACAGAGAGAAAGGTCTTCCTTTTTGCCGTTGGTGCACCCTCCAATGGCCGCCACGGCTGGCGCGCTGAGGCCGGCGCACCGTGCTGATCTGAAGCCAGGAGCCAGGTTCTTCTCCTGCTCTCCACTGGGGTGCAGGGCCCAAGCACTTGGGCCATCCTCCACTGCACTCCCTGGCCACAGCAGAGAGCTGGCCTGGAAGAGGGGCAACCGGGACAGAATCCAGCGCCTTGACCGGGACTAGAACCTGGTGTGCCGGCACCGCAGGTGGAGGATTAGCCTATTGAGCCGGGGCGCCGGCCCAAGAGAGATTCTTTCATCCACTGGTTTACTCCCTGAATGGCCCCAATGGCCAGGGTGGGCCAGGTTGAAGCCAGGAGCCAGGAGCTTCTGGGTCTCCCATGTGGGTGCAGGGGCTTAAGGAATTGGGCCATCTTCTGCTGCTTTCCCAGGCACATTAGCAGGGAGCTGGATTGGAAGTGGAGCAGCCATGTGGGATTCTGGTGCCGCAGGCAGAGACTTAGCCTACTACACCATATCACTGGCCCCTCAAGCAGCATCTTAATGGCCGTGTCAAATGCCTACCGCAGTTTCTGATAATCTGTGATTGGATGACAGACCTAATTTTACCTTGTTAGTTGCCTTAGTACAAGTGTGTTTAATCTTTTTTCCTGGTGTGAGGAACAGTTACTTTGAGCTTTGAGTCTGACTTTTACATGTTGTGAGGTGAGACAGAGCCAACTCAGTGGAGGGCTAAGTCTTCTTCACAATAGAGATGAAACACTTGACGTCCTGTATGCAAAGCCTTGTGGATCTTGAGGTTCCCAGGACGAGTGGTCGTTTGGACACACATCCCGGTCTGCTGGTACACCCGGTGAGCTGCAGGTGCATCTTTAATCCTTCCAGATGGCTCTTTCCCATCCTTGGGTAAATTTTCTCACATGTGTACTCATCAGTACTCAGACACTTGATAGAAATCGTCTGCAGACTCTTGCGTTCTTTGTGTAGCTTTTCTCTCTTTGTACTCCACCCTGCAGACTCCTTTGCTTTCACTGGACTGTCTCAGCTCCCTCCTCAGCTGAGGGAATCCTTTGGGCTTCTCCCTGCCACGTGACCTGGAAACTTCCCAGACAGAAGCTGGGGTAATGGAGAGCTCCTCATTGACAGCTCCTCTCTGTCCTTTTTGCCTGATGCTGACTGTCCTAAAAGCTGCTGTTTCCTGTATGTTGTCCACTCTTTGTTAATTTGAGTAGGATAGTGAATCTTCTTTGTTATTCTGTCTAGGTTGGTAGCAGAATTCTGCCCTGTGATTTTCAGCAACTGCATACTCTTGGCTTAATCTTGATATTGTGGCCAGCTACAGATCTTTCGATTCTGTAGTGTATCGTGTTTTCCACACCTAAATGCAAAGTTTTGTGCAGCCCTCTGTATCTCAGGAGGAAGAGATTTAAAGAACTAATATAATAGAGCATGATTTCTGTGCTAATAAAAGCAGCGGCGTAATATGGGAACCCAACACAAGAAATAGAATTTTCTCTGGGACACCTTTAACTGGTTATTCTGATTCAGAGATTGGTTATTCAGTTGGATGCACTTCCATCTTCAAGTAGATAAGCAGTGCTGTATTCGTATGCGAGAAGTTTACATAAATGTGGGAGAGGATAAAAGACAAAGCTTGTAAATGTTGCCACTAGAGACGGGTAATCTAAGTTGACATTGTTCCATCAGTCATCGCACAGTGAAGCTGCATGTTTAACCAGCCGCTGGTCCACTTAGGCCGTCATCAGACTGCGTTCCTCGTTCCTGTGGTTCATCTCCAAGAGTCTTTTTGTGCCAGAGACTCATGATAATTGCGGCTTATTATTTGAAACCTCATGAGAAACTTCATTGAATGCTTTCTGAAATCAGCTCTACTTGTTTGCTCTATTTCTTTGTTTAAAAAGGAAATGAGATTACTTTGGCATGGCCTTTTCTATGCCTTTCCTGTCTTCTATGGCTCAGAAATTTTAAATGATAGGCTGTGGGGTGCCACTCAGAGTTCATGTGCCGTTGTGGTTCCTTGAATCTGATTTCTTCGCTTGTTGGATCAGCATTTCTTTGTTTTAATCTCCTGTTGCCCACCTGATTATTCACCTTCTTGTTTTCGGAGATTGTGGGTGATAGTAGCCTGTCATTCATGTAATGATTCCTTCTGCTTTCTGGCTAAGCATAAAGTTCATTTTTGTAATTGTTCCCCATGCCCTTGTGTTCTTGATCATTTGTTAAATGTGTTGCTCAGTCTTTTAGAACTTTACTGAATTTTGGCCTATGAGACCTGTTAGATATTGAGAAGTTAAAATTTCCCCATATAATTTTGGGTTAGCTTGTTTTTGAAAAAAATAATTTGAGTTTATGTTTTTAGATGCACGTGCATTTTAAATTTTCTCATTTTAGTTAATGAAATCTTCAATGTTTTCTGCGATGATGCTGTTGACTGCCGTAATTTAAGCAAAGAAAAATGTTTTTGCTCAATTTTGATTCCTTTTGATTTGAAGCTTTTTGGTTGGTTAATTTTGTGTTTCCTGTTTTTCTGTTCAGGCTATCAGCTGATTGGGAGCCACTCTGGGGTGAAGCTCTGCAGGTGGACAAAGGTATTTCTTTATTTTCATTCAAGTGTTGCATGTACCTTTCTTATGCTGTTATGTGTAATCAATAAATTTACTATTTAAAATATAATTTGTTTTTAATCAAATGCATAGGCTTTTAGATGAATTTTTAAATGAGTTCAACATATTTTGAACCCATATGAACTCCAATTAAGATACAAATTAATTTTCTCACCTCAGCAAATTTAATGGCACTCATTTATGTTTGCTATGTCCTACCCTCACCCTCAAGCACACAGTGTTCTAACTGCTGCTCTGGATATTTCTCTTTATGTATCTGACAGCAGAGTGACAGTGAGAGAGAGAGACAGAGAGAAAGGTCTTCCTTTTTGCCGTTGGTTCACCCTCCAATGGCCGCCATGGCCGGCGCACCGCGCTGATCCGATGGCAGGAGCCAGGAGCCAGGTGCTTCTCCTGGTCTCCCATGGGGTGCAGGGCCCAAGCACTTGGGCCATCCTCCACTGCACTCCCAGGCCACAGCAGAGGGCTGGCCTGGAAGAGGGGCAACCGGGACAGAATCCGGAGCCCCGACCGGGACTAGAACCCGGTGTGCCGGCGCCGCTAGGCGGAGGATTAGCCTAGTGAGCCGCGGCGCCGGCCTGTTGCTCTTGTTTGGTTTTGGCTTTGTAGACTCTCGTGTGAGTTGAAGCATGTAATCTTTAGTCACTGTGATTTTGGAAGTCCAGGATACTGTTTCTGCACTACATTCATGCTGTAGCATTTATCTTCAGTTCATTCACTTTTATTACTCAGTACTATTCTGTCGCACGAATATGCGTGTTTTCTGTTCTGTGCGTAGACATTTGGTCTGTTTCCAGTTTTGTCTGTTGTGAGCAAAATCTCTAGGAACATCGTTCCACAAAAGCTTGTGTCAATATTTATATATATGCCAGTTTTCCCAGAAGGATCAGCGCGACTTGACATTTTTAATCACTGGAGGAATGTTCCAAGTTTTGCATAGTGAGGGTACCACTGGACATTCTCAGCAGCAGTGCGTGAGGGTTTCAGTGTCTGCACCCAAACACCATTTGTTGACTACAGCAGTCGTAGTGACTGCCAAGTGACCTTCATCGATGCTTTGGCTTTCCTGATGACCGGTGATGTTGGACATCTTTTTTATTTGTTTAATGGATGTTTGCATATCTTCTTGGGAGAAAAGTCTCTTTAAGTCATTTGGCAATCTTAACTTTGGGCTATTTATCTTGTGGGATGGTCAGAGTTCTTTCTCTGTGGACAATAATAGTTCTTTATCACGTGTGCGATTTGCTTCTCCCGCCACTGTTGGTGGCTGTGTCCCCAGGGACTGCGTTACTGCAGGCCGACTACAACTCCGCTCCTAATGATCAGGCCCTCCAGCCCTGCCTTGCAGATCTTTTTCCCACCTGTCCTGTCCTGGGTCAGGTTCCCCATGCAGAACTGTTCTCAGCCTCATCGCTGTTATTGATCAGTTCAAATCTGACATTTCCAAATAGCCTTTCTTCTTTTTTTTTATTTTGACAGGCAGAGCAGAGTGGACAGTGAGAGAGAGAGACAGAGAGAAAGGTCTTCCTTTTGCCGTTGGTTCACCCTCCAATGGCCGCCGCGGTCGGCGCGCTGCGGCCGGCGCACCGCGCTGATCCGATGGCAGGAGCCAGGAGCCAGGTGCTTTTCCTGGTCTCCCATGGGGTGCAGGGCCCAAGCACCTGGGCCATCCTCCACTGCACTCCCTGGCCACAGCAGAGGGCTGGCCTGGAAGAGGGGCAACCGGGACAGAATCCGGCGCCCCGACCGGGACTAGAACCCGGTGTGCCGGCGCCGCTAGGCGGAGGATTAGCCTAGTGAGCCGCGGCGCCGGCCAAAATAGCCTTTCTTCTTTCAGTCATGCTTAATTTTTTATATCCTTCATTCCTGTTCTTAAACCTTTCTACCCTAGGTTCTTGCTACTATTTCCTGCTAACGTTCCATTTCTGTATGCCCCTTCCAGTGTGATTCTGGCCTCCCCTTTGACCAGCCTGTTCTGTTGTGCCCTCTGTAACTTGACAGGAAACACCCCCTCTATCCTTGTCTTTCTGCCGAATGCCCCTGCCCATGTTGCCATAGTCCGCACCTGACCTTTGCTTGTTGTATCAGTGACATCAGTGGGCCTCCCAAAGAGAGAATCCAATTCTTAGCCCCTAAAGTTGTCAGAATATCGAGCAATCTCGGCATATCTCTGTGCAGCCTTTAACGCCCGCTGCTCCGCAGACTTGCCGTTCCTTGTTTCCCCCTTGCTCTTCTGCCCTCATCCTGAGGAGCAGTAACGTTCCAGCAGATGACGCTGCTGGCTCTCGGTGTTGCTCCGTCTACTCTTGGTAACATGCTAAGTAAGCCCTATTATATTTTCATTTGTTTTTTAATGCTTCTCATATCTCAGATTCCTTTTTTCCAGTCCACTGATTTCTCAGTATTAGCAGACCCAGTGCCTTCTGTTTATAGCCATTATTTTATAACATTTCTTTTACTGTTGCTAAATTATGCTTAGATGCAGTTTAATATCACGAGCATTGTTTTTTAAAATCAGTGTTTTGCTCAAACTATAATATAACGAGAGAAAAGGAAAGGGCCTTGTAGTAAACATTATGTATTTGTGTATGGAGATGCTCTGACACTATTGCATTGGAAGATATAATGAAGTAATTATCTGCTTGCACCTATTACAGTGGAGAAATTTAGATTTAGGAGAAATTAAAAAAAAAACTGCAAATTATCTTTTACAAGAAGTAACAAGAAGCTAGGCTTACTTACATATGATAAGACAAGGATGGAAACAGCTTTAGTTAAAGTAGGGCTAGCAGACCAAAGAATGATCTCACATTGGAGAAAATGAGAAAGTAGTGTATTGGCAAAAGAAGCTGAGTCTCCTTTATGTCGACTCTGAACAGTTTCCTGCGTTGTGACTTGGTAGTGATGGAGCATCTCCAAAAATACATTTCCTGTTTTAAAATCTCACATCGTGTTGAGACCTACATCCTGTCTCCAATTTGTGAGCCGACTGTGGAGTCTGCATCCCTTAGGCAGCAATGGGAATAGAGGATAGATGGGAAACAAATGGCAGGATGAGTGGATGAGAGATTTCTGGTGACTGTTTCAGAGTAACATTTTAAAATGACAGGTAACCTTTAAATAAACAATTTCTACATGTCATTATTACAAGGTAGATTTTTTTCATCAGTGTGCTGGCTATAAAAATTAACAATATATACAAGAGTAATAATAACTTTTGAAGCAGCGTTCTTACGCTCAGCTTTTCTGACATTAACTAGATTAATCTTTGAAGTACAGACCATGTCTCTGCTCCTTCTCAGAAGCCTACGTGGTTCCTCCTTGCTTCTTAGTCAGCATATCACTTTGCGTTTGTAATAGGTATTTCAGACTTAATTCAGTCACTAATTCTCCTCCTAATTCCATTTCCCTCTTAGCTCTTCAAAAATGGCAACTCTGTACTTTGAGTTGCTCAGGCCAAGAACCCAGGAGTCAGTCATTTTTTTCTTTTTTGTTTTTTCCTCTTCCAAATTTATTCCAAGAGCAAATCTTTGCCTCCTGAATATATCCAGAGTTCACCTACTGTACTGCCATTCCTTACCCAAGTCCCTGTGATTTGTCCCTGTTGTTGGTTCAGTGGTGTTTGCCCTCCCTGACAGGTGGAGTTACAGACAATGAGAGAGCGAGAGACAGAGAGAAAGGAAAGGTCTTCCTGCCATTGGTTCACTCTCTAAATGGCCACAGCGGCTGGAGCTATGCCGACCCGAAGCCAGGAGTCAGGTGCTTCCTCCTGGTCTCCCATGCAGGTGCAGGGCCCAAGGACTTGGACCATTCTCCACTGCACTCCCAGGCCACAGCAGAGGGCTGGACAAGAAGAGGAGCAACCGGGACTAGAACCCGGTGCCCATATGGGATGCTGGATGCTGGCGCCACAGGTGGAGGATTAACCAAGTGAGCCACGGCGCTGGCCCCCACAAGGGTAGAATTCTTTTTTTTTTTTTTTTTTTTTTTTTTTTTTGACAGGCAGAGTTAGACAGTGAGAGAGAGAGAGAGAGAGAGAAAGGTCTTCCTTTTTGCTGTTGGTTCACCCCCCATTGGCCGCTGCAGCTAGCGTGCTGCGACCGGCGTACTGCACTGATCCGAAGCCAGGAGCCAGGTGCTTCTCCTGGTCTCCCATGGGGTGCAGGGCCCAAGCACTTGGGCCATCCTCCACTGCCTTCCTGGGCCACAACAGAGAGCTGGACTGGAAGAGGAGCAACCAGGACAGAATCCGGCGCCCCGACCAGGACTAGAACCTGGAGTGCCAGCGCCGCAAGGCAGAGGATTAGCCTTGTGAGCCGCGGCGCCAGCCCAAGGATAGAATTCTAACATGTAGTAATCTCTTAGTAAACATTTGTATGGATGACTGGAATATACCTTTGAGCCCAAGGAAGATTATACTTAGTATATTTTTTTGTTAAATATTTATTTATTTGAAAGTGAGAGTTACACAGAGAGAGAAGGAGAGAGAGAGAGAGAGAGGTCTTGCTTCCATTGGTTCACTCCCCAGTTGGCTGCAATGACCAGAGCTGCACCAATCCGAAGCCAGGAGCCAGGAGCTTCTTCTAGGTCTCCCACGTGGGTGCAGGGGCCCAAGGGCTTGGGCCATCTTCTACTGCTTTCCCAGGCCACAGCAGAGAGCTGGATCAAGTGGAGCAGCCGGGACTCGAACCGATGCTCATATGGGATGTTGGCGCTGCAGGCGGCGGCTTTATCCGCTATGCCACAGTGCCGGCCCCAGTATACTTAGTATAGTTTTAATCCACTTGTTGAGCTATATTTCCTTCCTCCCTCCCTTCCTTCCTTCCTTTTTCTGTGTTTTTTTTTCCTTCCTTCCTTCCTTCCTTCCTTCCTTCCTTCCTTCCTTCCTTCCTTCCTTCCTTCCTTCCTTTTTAAGATTTGTTCTATTTACTTTAAAGTCAGAGTGACAGAGAGAGAGAGAGAGA